GATCAAGGCTAAAGTAGGTTGGAACATCATAACCCGCGCCCTTGTTCAGAGCAGTTGGCCCCCCCCCGACTCTTCCCCCCCCTGGCGGTCGTCGTCGAGCGCCAGCGTGCGTGTTCGGCGCCCCCCGGGGGGGGGGGGGGCGGCAGCCCCTGCCGGCGCGCGTGGCGACACCGCACTCGCAGCGAAGGCATCGCTGCGGAGCGCCTGCGCAGCAGGGGGAGGAGGACGAGGAGCGCAGGCAGGTCGGCGGAGGCCGAGATCGTGGCGGGTGCCGCGTTTTTTTCGCGGTCGGCCGCGGCCCCCGCCGCCCGCCGCCGCGGTGGCTCGCGCCGCCGCCTCCTCCGCCGCGGCCGCCCCAGCAGCGGACCCCGCTTTCTCCAGGGCTGTGCCCCCCCCCCTCCCCAGGCTTTCTCGAGGGCTTCTCGACCCCTTCCCCGAGGGCTTTCTCGAGCGGCGTTCTCGAGGGCTTTCTCGAGCGGCGGCCCCAGCTTTCTCGAGGGCTGCTCGACCCCTTCCCCGAGGGCTTTCTCGAGCGGCGTTCTCGAGGGCTTTCTCGAGCGGCGGCCCCAGCTTTCTCGAGGGCTGCTCGACCCCTTCCCCGGGGTCCGCCGCTCCTCCGCACCGCGCCGCTTCGGGACGTGGCCGCTTCCAGGCTGGCGGGCAAAAACTTGGCGTCTCGTTTTTGTTTGCTTGGGCTGCCAGATATTTCCAGCCCCAAGCCGTTCCAGACAAGTCCCCGGCCCCTCCCGGGGGCCCCTTCTGGCCAGCGTCAGCGGCGTCGTAGCGGGTACTCACTGACGGGTACCTTGGAAAGTTGCCGAAACTTGCAACTTCAGGGCTTCCTTCTGGCATTGCAGCGTTGCCCCCACATCGGGGAGGACTGGGCGCGCGGGGTCACTGGCCAGCGTGCCCGTCAGTAGAGCCCCCGTTAGTTAAGAGGGGCGCCGACAGCGTCCCGAGGCGCGCCCAGGCGTGGAGGGCCCAAGAGCTTCCGCAGCGAGCACGCCGTCCACGTCGCGGCCGCGGCCGCCGCCGCCGTGGCCGCCGCCGCCGCCGTGGCCGCCGCACAGGTGGACGCCGCGCGCCGCGCCGAGCCGCTGCTCCTCGGCCAGTCGCCGCGGGCCTCCAGCGCGGGCGGCGCGACGTCGCCCGGCCCAGGCGGCGGGTCGCAAGGCGGGCGCTCGGCGGCCTGCGGCGGGCCCGCGGCGGCCCCCGGCGGCCTGCGGCTCGGCCATCGGAGGCCTTCGGCGGCGACGGCCACATCGTCGCCGTCGTCGTCGCCGTCGCGGCCCCTGCCGCCGCCGTCGTCGCCGTCGTCGCCGTCGTCGTCGTCGTCGTCGTCGTCGCGGCCCTGCCGCCGCCGCCGCCGCCGCCGCCGCCGCCGTCGTCGTCGTCGTCGTCGTCGTCGTCGCCGTCGTCGTCGTCGTCGTCGTCGTCGTCGTCGTCGTCGTCGTCGTCGTCGTCGTAGGCGTCGTCGTGACCCTCGTCGTCGTCTTCGTAGGCGTCGTCGTGACCGTCGTCGTCGCTGCCGCCGTCGTCGGCATCGCCGGCGTCGTCGTGACCGTCGTCGTCGTTGTTGCCGTCGCCACCGTCGTCGTAGGCGGCGTCGTCGGCGTCGTCCTTCGAGATTTGAGACATGTTGGCCAGTGTGGACCCCAAACAGTGGAATGGTGCACTGTGGGTGTGTAAGCTATATGGTACAGCCATGTGGCTTCAAATTAACTATGTAGTGCAAGATATTGGATTCAGCTCTGCTGCAAGATATGTGGTGCAATATGCGGGATGCAGTAAAAGTTGCGCAAGCTACGTGGTGCAATCTACCAGTTGCAATCCACTTCGACTGTCTTGAAGCTGTCCTCTCCACTGCTCGTGCAAACTCACCACCCTCCCACCCGCAACTTGGTCGCAATACCTCTTCAGACAAGACCGTGACGGTAGGTACCACATGGCACTTGGCCACGACACCGATGCCGACGACGACAGCGACATCGTCGACGACGGCGCCGCCGACAGCGACTGCGACGACACCGACGACGTCTCCAATGTTTTCGACGACTACAACGACGACGACGACACCGACGACGACGACAACGACGCCGACGACGACGACGAAGACGACGACGACGTCGCCAACGGAGACGACGACGAGGGAGGAGAAAAAACGACGACGGCGACAACGACGACAACGACGATGGAGGAGGGAAGACGGCGACGACGCCAACGACGAAGGAGGAAGACGGCGACGCCGACGACGACAACGACGAGGGAGGAGGGAAGACGACGACGATGACAACGACGACGAAGACGACGACGACGGCGACGAAATAGGAGGGACGACGACGAGACGCCGACGACGGACGACGACGACGAGGGAGGAGGATAACGACGAGGGAGGAGTGAAGACCACGACGACGACGACGACGACGACGACGGCGACGAAAAAGGAGGGACAACGACGAGACGCCGACGAAGACAACGAGGGAGGAAGGACGACCACGGCGACAACGACGACGGAAACGACGACGACGCCAAAGACGACGAGGAAAGACAGAAGACGACGACGGCGACGACGACGACGACGACGAGGGAGGAGGGAGGGCGACGACGACGACGACGACGCAAGAGCGCGCGCGCACAATTTTGTTGAAAACCCGTGTTGCGAAACCTTGTGTTTTTGTATGTTTTTTTGGACGCAGGATTTCGAAATTCTTCCGAAACCGAAGGTTTTTGAAGGATTTCGGCATACGCCCGCGACGACGCGCGCGTCTGCACTTCGTCTCATTTTTTGCAGAGGATTCTCGCGACGGCACACGCGCAAGAGCGTTCGACAGATTTCGACATGCGCGCGCGCGAAGCCCGTTTGGTAGCATTTTGTGAAAATCTTGGAAAACCTATGGTTTTCTTAAGATTTCGCAAGAGCTCGCGCGTAAGTTTTTTTTTTGAATCAGTGTTGCGAAACCATGTGTTTTAAAATGTTTTTTGGGAAATTCAATTTTGAAATCTCTCCGGAACCGAAGGTTTTTGAAGGATTTCGGCATGCGCGCGCCACGACGCGCGCGTGTGCACTTCGTCCCATTTTTTGCAAGGGATTCGCGAAAAAGTGCTATGTTAGAACAAAACATGTCACCGCATAGTGTTTTTTTACAAGGGACCCACAGGGGGGGGAACCCGGCTTGGCTGGGATGGTATGAATTCATATTTAGGATGGACATGTGGTCAGAATCATATGTAATTTACAGCACGCGCGGGGTAACCGATAAGTCCGGGGGGGGGGGGTAGAATCTATTAGTCTTTTAGAAAAGAGAATATATGTGGTATAGGCTATCTGGTGCAAGCTATGTGGTTCAACCTGCGTGGTGAAAGATATGTGGTGCAATCTGCGTGGTGCAAGCTACGTGGTGCAACCCATGCGGTGCAAGCGACGCGGTGCAATGCACGTGGTGAAAGCTAGGCTGGATAACTCATGTGGCGTAACTTTTGGTGGTGCAAGATGTGCGATGTAAGCTGTGTGGTACCACGTGGTGCAACCCCTTGGGGAGCCCACGAGGCACCCAGGGGCGAGCATTAAGTCGGGCGTGTCCCCCTGCAGGGGGATTTTCGACGAAAAATAAACAATACTCCAAAAGTGCTCCAGCATTGCCAAAACAATACCTAAAACAAATATCCCCAGACTATCCGTAAGGGCTTCGCCCCATGCCGCCGGCCCCCTGTCTCGGAGAATGGGAGATGCAACAGCTAAATCACGAGGTCTGGGCGCCGCTGTGAAGCAGTGTTGGGACCTGTTTGTTTTTCGACCCTAACCCTACGGATCTGCGTCACGGGTGCCACCGAATTTCAGAAATGTGGCAAATCCCCGGTGTTTTTGGACCTTGACCCTGCGCATCTGCGTGAGGGGTGCCGCCGAATTTCAGAAATGTGGAAAATCCCATGTGTTTTTGCACCCTGACCCCGCCGATCTGCGTGATGGGTGCCGCCGAATTTTAGAAATGTGACAAATCCCATTTGTGTTGGACCCTGACCCTGCCGATCTGCGTGAGGGGTGCCACCGAATTTCAGAAATGTGGCAAATCCTTTTTTTTTTGACCCTGACCCCGCCGATCTGCGTGAGGGGTGCCACCGAATGTCAGAAATGTGGCAAATCCCATGTGTTTTTGGACCCTGACCCCGCCGATCTGCGTGAGGAGTGTCAATTGCTACCCGCCCCAGCAATTCAGACAATACGCTCAGGGCGTGGTAAAAATGCCAGTTTTGGACCTCCCCCCTCGCGCGGTCCACCAACAAGGAACAGTAAGCAGCAAGAAGTCAACAAGGAACAGCAAGCAGCAAGAAGCAGAACTAACTGTTCCAGTGGAAACTAGAAGCTGCAACTGGTTCAGGAAACTGCGAAGCCTCGTCCCACAGCCTGGTGGCCCCACAAGGGTGCCGGCGGATTTTCTGACTATTTTTGAATATTCCCCCTGTAGAGGGACAGGCCCGACTTAAGGCGAGCACCAGCCGACACCTCGCCTTCCTTTTCTTCTTGCCCTCGCCTTCCTTTTCTTCTTCGCCCAAGGCGCCCATTGGACTAAAGCGGCGCTTCCCGTTCTTGTCCGATCAGGTTTTTTGAACTATTTCTGAATATCCCCCCTGTGGAGGGGACAGGCCCGACTTCAGGCGAGCACCAGCCGACCCCTCGGCATCACCTCCTCCGCGCGGAGCGCCCGAGAGGCGCTCGCGGGCGGATGCCGCCTCGCGAGGCCTCGGCGTGCGCCCCCCCGGCGCGGGGGGAGCGCCCACCGGCGGGCACCGGGCGAGACCTCGGCAGACCCCGCCGGCGCGGGGTGCCCACGAAGCGTCACCAGGCGAAGCCTCGGTCAGAGCCCCGAATCATCAGGGGTCACTCGGGTCAGGACTAACTCGGGTTCGTTTTTCGGGGTTCCGAACCCGACTTGCCCCGGACCCGGCTTGCCCCGGATGATTCGGGCTTCCAGAGCCCCAAATCATCAGGGGTATCTCGGGTCAGGGCTAGCCCGGGTTGGTTTTTCGGGAATCCAAACCCGAATCACCCCGGACCCGAGCTACCCCGGATAATTCGGGCGCCCAACTCGGCACCTCTACGACCACCCTTCGGGTGATAGTAGGGGAACATGACATAAACATGAAAACTCGGAGGTCCGCGCAGATTTCTCGGATCGGCGCTGGGGCGCCCCTGGCGGCGCCTCCGGCGCCGCCCCTGGCGCGCTCCGCGCGCCGGGGAGGGGGGTCCAGCGCGGATCCAAGAAATCCGCGCGGACCTCCGAGTTTTTATGTTTATGTAATTTTTCTTTTCTCTAGATAGGGAGGCTGGGGGAGGGGGAAGAACCAACTGCCGGCAACTGCGACGGCTGTGATGATGACGACGCCACGGTCGATCTCACAGTCGATCTCACGATTTCGACCCTACGAACGATCTTTTACCGTCGTTCTCACTCGACCGGTCTCGCTCTCGATTCTCACTGCGATCTCAATCGAGCTCACACTCGGTCCCACTATCGATATCACTGTCGACCTCGCCATCGATCGCACTATCGACCTCACTTTCGATTGCACGATCGAAAGCGCTATCCATCTTACTATCGATCTCACTGCCGCTCGCACGATCGATGCAACTACCGATCTCACGATCGACCTCGCTATCGATCCAGCTATCGACCTCACTACCGATCTCACCACATCTCGGTCGTTATCGATCTCACTGTCGATCGGGACACTATCGGGACACCACGCGGGACACTGCGGGACACCACTGGACACCACGGGACACCGCGGGACGAACGCAACTCGCTTTGGGCGTGGACGTGGGTCCTCCTGTCCGATGAGAGCCAGTTCTGGCGGCTCCCAATATAACCGAGCACGAATGTTTGTTGCTCCATCCGGTAACGGTGCATTGCAATTGTACCCGATAGGCTGGTCCTGGATCTTGATGTTCTTTTTTTTGTTTTGTTTTTTTTATTTTTTGTTTTTTTTTTTTTTTTTGTATTTTATTCTTTTTATTTGTTTTTTTTTTTTTTTTTCTTGTTTTTTTTACTTTGTTTTTTTTTTTGGTTTTTTTTTTTTTTTTTTTTTTTTTTTTTTTTTCATTTTTTTGTAATGTTTTTTTTATTTTTCTTTTTCTTTTTTTTTTTTTTTTTTGTTTTTTTTTTTTATTTGTTTTT